GAAGTCCAGGAAGACTATGTCCACTGCTACCCCTACATCTAATGATCTGGTGATCTGATCGTAAAAGGCCACCAGGTTGGTCTGACAGGACCTGCCACTGATGAACCCGTGCTGATTACCCCTAAGCATGCAGTCCCCTGCTGGCCCCTCCTGGATGTGCAGTGTGTGTGTCTGCACATGTGCCTTCAGAAGCTGTTTTTAGATGGCAATGACCTTGTGTGCACTGTCCTTCCCATTCCCTGTTGCTCTGGCACCGTGTCTGCCCACCACCATGACCACTCCCCACTACCAAACCTCTCAGGAGGCAGCTACAGCCTTGGCTTACACAGGTACCGAATACCAGAGCCAGCTGTAGTGCTTTGTTAGCATCTTTTTGGAGTGTGGAAATGAGAAGGCAGAGCCAGCACCAGGTGACCAGCCTGTGCCGACCTAAGACACTCAGGTCACCAATGGGTGGCAGAAGGTAAGGCCCTACCTCTGTTGGTGAACTTGCTTTAGCGGTGCTGAGTGCCATCAATTCCCAGTGGGAGGAGCAGATACTCAACATCTTTGAAACAGCCTCTTTCTTCAAGGTCTGGGGGTGTACCTGAGGTTGCATCCCAGGCTGGGTTGGAGTCTCCACCTCAGAGTCCCCATGTCTGTTGCAGGAGATCTCTGCAGAGGGTCCGTCTAGCTGGGCAGCTGCTTGTCCCCCTGTTGGGCCATACTCCATCCTGGGCATCAAGGGGGACAAGAAATCCCATTCTCAGGCTGTGTCTCTGGAGCCTCTGGACAGTTATTGTGCCAGCCCTTGGATGCTTTGTCTCCTTGAAGAAATGAGACATGATTCAGTTTGGCTTTGCAGCTCAGTAGACTGCCTGCAGGGCTGTGAGAAGAGCATGTTCCTAGACAGAAATAGCACAATTAGACCCAGGGAGTTTAACCAAACCCAGGTGCTTACCAGACATCTGCCTTCCCTCTCCTGCAATGCCGGCAGAGCAGACACACAGCAGGGGCAGGGTGGAGACACCCAGCTCCTGGGGAGACAAGCTACTTTCCAGACCGCCAGGGGATGCCCATTCAATGACTGGGTGTCCTCCCAGCCCCCAGCTCTGCAGGAAACCCCCTCTACCAATCCCTCTGCAAGAAGACAGGGCGCCACTGACCCTTTTCCTAAAAGAACTGGGCAGGATTTGGAGAAGTCAAGGGAAGTGACCTGCATGCGTCATTCAGAGCCCCTGTGTGGGACCTTTTTGGAGTCAGTGGTAGCATCTCTTTGCTGCTCACATATGTGGGTGTGGGGCTGTGCAGAGGTTTGTACACCTAAACGTGTTCTTAGTTGGAAATGCTGGTGCAGCTCTCCTGGGAACCATTGCTCAGGACTCTCTGGCCGGAGTCTCCTTCCTGCTTGGACAAGTTTTCCAACAATGCATCAGACAAGGTTGGAAGAAGTGTAGACCATAGAAGAAGTGTAGACCACAATCTTGATGTGCAGTGGGGAATCTACGACATTTGGCCTGCGGAGAAAATACTCCCATGCTATTCCCCTATGTAACATAATAGCCCTTGCACCTCACATTTTGGATGTTCGGTTTTCTGCAGGAAAGCCAACATTTGTCTTGGGGAAGGGGAACACATGCAAAAAATCAGTCTTGGGCCAAAAACAAATGCTGGGAGGCAAACTTCCAGCCTGGCCTCTGGGGGGCAAACTTTCGATCAGCTCCAATGCACAAAGGACTCACAGACCCTGCCAGCAGGAGCATATTCCTTTGTGAATGGAGCAGTCCCACCATGGAGCAGCCTCCTGCTCTCTTTGCCAGCAGCGTGATGGAAAGCAGAGGGGAGCACTCCGGGCAATAGCGGCTGTTGGATCGGGTGAGCCAGTTGCCTCTCTGGTAGCGGGATATAATCCACATCTAGCTCTGCTCAGGAGCGCAGCAAAGCATCGCAACAGATGTTCCTTTTCTGTATGGGAAAATGCCGAGTAAAACAAAGAAATCCTCTCCTGCTGAAAGCCAACATCTGTTTGAAGCTGTCTGGCTCCAGTTCAGGCTTTAATTATTCTGACAGGTCTCTTCATGCCTTTAATTTCCCATGAAATCCAATTCAAGGAGTTATTTGTCTGCAGGCTGATCCTGGGGTGGGGAAGAGAGAGGCTGCACGTGACCCCCACTCTCCCCGCTGAAAATCCCTTCCTCCGGGCAGCCTTTGCACAGAGAAAGCTGGCCTGTGCCTCTGCAAAGGACTGCGTTGCAGCAGACGGGTGTTCTAGCACCACGCTACCCCTGTAGTGCACAGATCCTGCATGATGCGCTGTCGGGGCATCATCAATTGACACGTTAGGACCTGTCCAGACCTCCAGGGAGTTCTTGGCTTCTCCCAGCAGCAAGGAAACGGTTTCTCTGAAAACGAAAAGCTCTTTAAAAGACCGTCTTGTTTGGGAAGGAACTTCCTACTGAGTTCAGGGCTGGGTTGAACCAATGTGGGGCCCGTGGTAAACAAAGGCACGGTGCCACCCACCTCACACCGGTCTGTGCTGACCAAATACAGGGTTGGCAGGCAGCACCCTCCTTGAGAGACAGGAACAGATAGCCCGACACATACCTGCTCGGTGGGGGAAGCTGCATGCTTCTCCCCTGCACTCCCCTGCTGGTGGTTCTCCATGAGTTGTGGAGTTTACACCCCTTGAGATGCACTGAGCTTCAGGCCTAGAACACAAAACAAAACAGGGACCGGGTTGTGTTTGTCCAGGTAAGAGTCAAATTGCGGAGGGGCCTGTCATCCCTCCCAGGCCCTGGGTGAAGCCATTTGGAGTGGGAACACGATTAAAAGGGATCTCTCTGGACTTGTCTAGAGCCTGGTACTGCTGGGGGCATAACTGGGGAAGAAATATCAAGAGTTTTTCAAGTCCCAGAGCTGCAGCCCAGCCTTCAGGGCTCACAGGGGTGAATGTTGGCAACAGAGCGCATGTGCTATATACAGTGCCCAGGAAAACAGGATGCCATCTTCCCTTTAGTGAACCAGTCCTGAACCCCCCTCCAACACATACTCCCTTCTTCTGCATGGGGGGCCTCTCAGGCAGTTCCCAGTGGGTGAAGAGACTCATGGAGATCCATGGACCACGCTCCACACAGCAACTTTGCAGCTGGAGTTTTATTTCCTTTTGTGAAAATTAACAGATGATGGGAGGTTCCCCCATAGGCTCAGCTCCCCTCCCTCCCCAACCTTGAAACAGTCACAGGAGGAACCAGGGGCAGGTTGTCCTGGCATGGCATGCTCCACTCAGGCTGGGGCAGGGGCCCTGGCCCTCTCTCCAAGCCCGAGGCATGTTGAGAAGACCTGTTTTCAGGACAACACTGTGAGCTGCCAGGTGCCCGCTGCCTGGTGTCCAAAATGACCTTCAGCAGAACGCCAGAGAGGCTCCATCTGTCCAAGCCCAGGGCTTCCAGGGAGGGGGCAACAGAAAAACAGCTGTCTCCACTTGCTTTGGGCTCATGTGAGCATCTTGTGGCTGGCTGGTGCGTGGGTTTTCTTTTTAATTTTTTTTTTTTTCTTTTCTTTTATTAAAAATGGTCTTTACATAGACTACTGGGAACAGCTCCAAGCAGAAAGCCCCGTCCTCCAGAGTCTGCTTATAAAAGAGTTCGCAAAAGGGTCAAATATTGACCAATAACGGTTTGGGCGGCGTTTGCATCTCGATTGTGGCTTCGGCAATGTACAGTGGGGCGGGACAGGGACAGGACTGGAGGCCTCCTTTAGTCAGCTGGTTTGGTGACCAGGGAAAGAGGCTGGGCTTGCAGCACTGCTAAGGCGGCCTGTGGGGAGGGGAGGGCAGCAGAGAAGGAGGGAGGGGAGGTCAGAAGGGCTGTGGGGGGCACCGAGGGAAAGGGGATGGGTCTGGAGAGGAGAGGTGAGGGGCTGCTGAGGCCAGAGGAGGAGGAAGAGGAGGCCTTGCTGGACAGGAAAGCAGCCGAGTGCAGGGCAAGCTGGGCTCGGGCTTCTGGCTTGGTGGTGAGCGAGAGGGGCTGGGCCTGCTCAGAGTGGGTGGCTGCTGGGGCAGCGGGAGAGGCCAGGGCTGCTGAGGGCGTGGCAGGCGAATCCAGCATGCTGCCGTGGGAGGAGGCAGGGCTGTCGCAGGGCTTCTCCACAGGCAGGTACTGCACGCAGGGCTTCTTGCTCTTGGAGACCAGGGAGCCTGGAAGGGGCAGCAAAGGAACCCATCAGCATCCCCATACAGTCCAGTCCTGGGTAGCAAAAACAGCAGGTGCGAAGCCCAGTATCTGCGCCTGGGAATGGGGCTGTCCGCACATTGCTGCTGCCCCAGAGCGCGGCATGCCAGGAGGTTGGTTATATTGAGGTAGGCATGAGCTGCACAGTGCTACATTTGCATCTCCCACAAAGAACGGCCTGAACTAACTGAACTGCCCTGCCTCATCCACCAGGGACTCATCACGCTGGGCATGCAGGGAGGATTGTGGGAAGGCACTGGAGGACTGCCTGCACCTGAGTAATTCAGCTCTATCCTCACTACCAAATTAGGCAGACAAACAGCATGAACTATGGCCAGAAGCACAAGCAAACCTGGCATGTGGGATCCTGGGCATGCAGGGAGCAGGGGGCATGGACTAAGGCAAAGGCCTGACTTCACTCTGCCAAGGAAACCAGTCTCACTGGAAGGAAAGGGGCTGGGAAGGGCATAGCTTCTTGGCACATGCGTGCAGCTTCTCCCAACATCTTGACATCACGGGGTGGGATAGGATACAAGTCAAATCATCAACAAAGATATCCAAGGACAGAGCAGAGCATCTTAGCCTCAGGGGACAGCCCCTGCACCCTGCTTTGTCCCACCTCAGTGGTATTTTCAAGGCAGGGTTCTTGGCGTTTTTTTAAAGCATCCACATTGCTCAGACCAGGTCTGGGTCAGAGCCCTGTCAGAGAGGGGGAGAAGACAGGGTCCTGTCCCCATCTGATGGAGCTGCATGAAGCAGATGCCCTGTCAGGTCATGACATGCCAGGGCTGGTACTCACTCTCGGTGTCCTGGGTCTGCTGCTGGGCAAGTTTCTCTCGCTTCCTCTTCTTCTTTTTCCCCTGGAAAAGGCAATAGCACAGGATTCAGAACAGTGCCAGGGCAGCAGCAACTGGCAACTGGGGGAGGAAGGTCAAGCATTGCTGTGATCCCCAAGGCTGAGCTGCTGTGTAACACCTGAGAATACTCCCCAGGGCATGTGCCAGGGAGGGGCTGCCTCTGCAGAGACCATGCTTTCCCGCCAAGCCTCCCCCCCACCCCTGGCAGCTTCAACTCACGTAGTTATCCCGTGCAGACCAGGTCGGGTAGAGCTGAGAATGCAGCTGTCGCTCCTTCCGCGCCAGCTCGTAGTACTTGGCTTGTTCTTCCCGGGACAGTGAGTGCCACTAAGGGGAGAAAGGAAGTCAACTGACTGTGAAACCTGGGGGTGGGGGGACAAAACCCACCCTCCCCCTTTCTGCGAGGGGCCCCTGAGTCATGAGCCTGGGGCGGGCAGCAGCTGCAGCAGGCAGCTCTCAGAAGGACCAGGGCTGAGCTAGGTGCAACTTGGAGCAGCGTTGGCAGCTGCCCACAGCCCTAATGAGATGGAGTGCAAGGCACAAGGGCCAGGCCTCCAGGCCCACACCACCACCCTGAGGCAGAGCCTGGAAAATTCCCAGGGCCTGGGGACAGGCAGCAAATGGGAGCTCCTGCTCTCAATGAAGCCCCCAGCCACAGCTGGGGAGACCCTCTGCACTGTGCCCCTCTGGCTTGGATCACTCCAGGCAGGTTATTACCAGAGTCCTCAAGGATGCTTTCTATAAGTGTGGAGCCAGTGCTACGTCCCTTTCTAGTTCTACCTAGTGTGCTACAGGACAGACCCCCAGCATACCCACAGAAGCAGGAGCAGCGGCTGTGGCTGGGGGTCACTATCTAGCCACACAGCAAGTGGCCTGGGGATGCCAGGGCTGAGCATTCAGCTGGGGGCCCCCCTGTGGCATGGTGGTTCCTGGGATCCTCAAGCTCCTCCCACACTACAGCCTTGTAAAGGGAGGATGATGTAAATGAGATGATGCCAGCTCCAGCATCCAGAGCACTTGCATATCCTCTGCAGATGCCAGCCAGGCAAGGTCCCCCATGGATGATGGAGAAGCTGGGGGGCAAGCTCCAGGGCAGCTCCGAGGACACCAAAAGCACAGGAAGAGAAGGAGAGTTGGATGCAGGGCAGAATCTGGGAGGCATGGAGGAAAGAGGGACCGAGGAGACAGAGAGAAAGACACTGGTACCCGTCTGCCCAGGATCTGGTTGATGGCTGCACTCTCTTTCAGCGTGCACTCGGCCACCACCTTGGCCCGCATCTCCTTCATGTACAGCATGAATGCGTTGAGCGGTTTCTTGATGTGGGGCTTCTTCTCCTCTTCCTTCTTCACAGTGACTGGGGATTTCCTGTGGTAACCAGAGCAGGCAGTCACCACAATGGCCATCATGTTCCAGAGGCAGCTCTCAGCCATTGCTCAGGCCCCTGGGGGCATAGTCCAGCACCCGCTCCCCCTCCCCAGCCCCGGGTCTTCTGCAGACCTGAACAGTGGGATTTGCTCTTTCCTTCCCAAGGAAACCAATAAATCTCTTTGCTCTGTAGGACCCAAATGCAAAAACCATTACTGTGTGGCCCCAACTCCATCAGCATTTCTTACAAGATAACTCCCCCTGCCCCACAGAGATTCCAGGACATGTCCCCTTTGGCACCCAACCATGCTGCCTCAGCACAGGACGAGATCAGGTTGGTGCAAGGAGGCTGATTTTTCACAAGTGTGTGTGTGTGTGCGTGTGTGTGTGTGTGTGTGTACACGCATGCGCACACGCACACACATCCAGGGCATGGTGCCATGGTACAGCTACACCCTGCTTTAATCCCTGCCTCACCCAAACTTTAAGTCAATTACAGCATTTCTATTTAGGCAGCATTGAAAGAGTCAGGTGGTTCATTATCCTCTCCCTCATTCCTGCTAATCTTTACTCCACAGGTGACAACAACTCTCTCCTTTTTAATGGTCTTGATGTTTCATTAATCAAGTCATCCTTTCTTCTGCAATTCTGCTGTCTGCTAACAGCAAAATTGCTCCTGGTAATCTCTCTCGTTTCATAGTCCTGCTGCCTGTTTTTAGCTATAACTAAAAATCTCAACTCAAGTGTGGTTATATTAACTCAAGTACACATGAAGTCAGGTGTGGAAATGGCAGACAGGGAAATGTTGGATGCTCTGTCAAGATGCTCAAAAAGACTAGATTCTGTTGTACAAATCTGAATAAGAGATGTGCATTTACCTGTAACGATGACAGAACCAATGAAACAATATCTATGGACTGTTTTTGCCTGATTTGTTGTATTTTTTTAACTTAATGTCTAAGCTGGCAAATCAGTGTACAGTCCATTAAATTAAGATTTGGGTTTTTTGCTTTGATCTTTAACTGAATAATATAGCACTGGGGCCTGCCCATAAGTAAAGCTTCTAGTTTCTCTTTTAACTGGAGAAAAATATGCATTGGGGCTATATTTGCTGATGCACTGAGCCATCTGCACCCCTATGTTCATGTGGAGGTGCATGTTGTGGGCAAAGGTCTTAGTGTACCTGTGTGACAGATGTGCCTGGAGGTGAAAGGCTAGCTGGGTATGTGTGTAAACATGCATGGGAAATATCTGTGTGGTAGGGATGGGAGTATGTGTGCATGTTGGTGAAAGCAGGCAGGTACATATGCAAGGCCATATGTACACATGTATTCCTACAGGCAAGCAGGTATGAGTGAGCTTGTGTACATCAGGCTCTCGTCTGGGCACTAGAGTGTGCCTGGAGGGAAAGATATATGGAAATGCCTCCGCTGGATTAACTGCATCCTTTGCACAGAGCTTGCAAAGCAGTTTTAAGGCCAATGTCACCTCTCTGCCATTTGGGGGAGCCCCTGAGAATGGCCTGGTAACAAAATCCTGCCCCAATCCTACACACCATCTGGCAGCTGCAGATACTAGGATTTGGATCTTCTGGAAGCTGACACAACCCTTCCAAACTCATGTGCTTACACACTTTTCAGAAAATCAGATGCTTTTGCAGGGAAAACACTACAATCATTGCATGAAGTGGGAACGGTCGCTTAAAAAGTGGCTGCTTTTACCCTGCCTTCTCTTTCTTTTTTTCCATATGGCTGGGGATTGTGATGCTCCTGCTGGGACTTAAAGCCAGAGATTTCTAGCTAGAGGGTCTTGCCCCTCCACTCAGGGTCAGGCTGACTGCCAGATTTGGGGTCAGGAAGGAATTTTTTCCCCGTGGTCAGATTGATAGGCAGGGTTTGCTCTCCTCTGTAGCAAGGGGCACAGCCTCTGCCTGGGATCTCGAGTGTATATTAACAACCTTCTATAGAAATGGGACATTGGCTGCTGCGGTCCTCCTGCTTTCCTTGTGGCAGGTTCGGTGTTATGTCGTGTGTTGTGTCAGGATTGATGATGATTTTATGAAGAGTTTAGATGATAGATTTGTATAGGATGGTTTGGATAGGGCTGATCCTGCCTCAGGCAGGGGGGTTAGACTAGATGACCTCTGGGGTCCCTTTCAGCCCTACCTCTTTCTGATTCTATGAAAAACCACTTTTTAATGGAAAATAGGGCTCATGTTCACCAGTACAGGCCTGCATGCGCGAGGCACTGTAGAAGTCCAACCCTGAAATTCCGCAGTGTACCAAAAGACAGCCAACTGGAGCTGCACTCCTCATGCCCCCCTCTCCTACATCCTTAACTTACGCATTCCCCCCTGGGCTCACGCTGGGCTGTGCAGGTTCCTGCTTCACGATGGGCGAGACAATGGTAGGGTGCGGGATTCCCGAAGGGTGGAGCCCATGCGCGGGAGGTGGCACCATGTGTGGGGAAAACCTGCTGGACATCAGGCTGCGAGTGAGGAGGGAGAGAACAGGACACAGGGATCAGGAGGAAACACAGCATCAGCCTCAGTGCAGATCCCAGCTACTCTCCCCAGGCCATGCACACACTCCTCCCGCCCTGTTAGTCCTTCCCCTTGACTCCAACCTACCCTACCTCTATCAGCATTGCCTCTGAGCATGACCTAGCTGTGCATGAAGCAACATGATGATCATCCCTTGAGTCATGCCAGGTCTGTGCATCTACAGTCCAGCTTCTCTGACAAGGGAAATGCATCCCCTGCTCTAGGACCGGCCAGATATGTAAGGACTGCCATGTGCTGTGTCAAACGGCAGGTCCATCTTGCCCAGTCTCCTGTGCCACACTTCAGCAGAGGGTGGATGCTGAAAGGGTGTGACCAGGGTTTGCACCCCCTCTTGCAGCCTCCAGCATTTAAGGTCTAGGAAATTCTGACTCAGAGGCTGTGCCCCTCACTGCCGTGCTCAATAGCTACCAATGCCCGTCTCCTCCAAGAACGTGCCCAATCCTTTTTTGAATCTGGCTGAACCCTCAGCTCTCTCAACATTTTGTGGCAATGAGTTAACACATTTGAATTCCATGCTTGGTGAAAAAGAACTTTCTTTTGTTAGTTTTAAACTTACTACCTACTAAGCTAAGACCACTGCAGGACCTTGTGTATAGGCAGCCACCAGCTTGGAGAGAACCTGATTGTGTCCAAGAGGGTCCTAAACAAGGTTTCTTGGGATGCAGACACAATACATTTACACCAAGGGAATTTACTCTGAGGTAAAAGGGGAGCAAATGCAAGATACACAGTGTTTTCTAATGGAAATGCTGCTCTTCTGTGTAGAGGTGCACTGATACATCAGTCTGATATTGAATCCGTACTGATATAAAGAAAACTGGCTGTATTGGATATCGGCCCGATGAGGCCGATAATTTGGCCAATAAATGCCTGTACTGCACGCAGCCGCAG